ACTTAGAGAGAGGCCCGTTCCCATAGAACTGCTTTAAGATAACAATTTGGGAAGAACAAGGGCTTGCTTCCAGAGATAAATCACTTAATCTCCATTGACTTTGATTTTTGTTTCATCATACTGTTTTCTAGTGCAGATTCAACACACTAGTTGACAAAAAAAAGTTCCTCTTACCTCCCCACAGAAAATCCTGTAAGGTCAAAATCACTATCACACACAGAAGAACAGGTAACTTGGACTAATGACATTACCTCATCATCTAAACAGTAGTATGGACACAGTGAACTGAACACAAAATCTGTGTAAGAGTTTATCAGCAGTCTACACTCCACAAGCACCAAAAATGGATGTTATCCATAAAAATTCAACTCAATTTCTAAAGAAATAAAAAGCAGAGAAGCATCTCCTTTCAGCACTTTATGAAGTCTATTTTTACTGCATAAATTACAGTGTGCTGGAAATTTTGCTTTGTTTTTTTCTCCCTATCACAATTCATAATCAATGTTTAATACAAAAAAAACATTTTAACAATTTTGAAAAGCTGAGCACTTTAGATTTGAAAGTGAATGGTTGTGTGTATAATTCTTAACTACTGCCCTTGAATAAAGGCACTGTAATAAACTACATACATTTAATAAAGACAATCTATATCCTACTTTTTCACAAATCTTTCATACAGTTATTAATCTTTGCAGTAGTAGGAGATGCTCTTCAACTTTCCGTGTAAGTGTAAATTTTCAGAAATTGCTGATTATTGAAAAATGTCTCTGAATGACTTGGTTAGAGGAAATAGGGCAAAGCACAAAATTGCTAAGACTACCTTACTGCACCATTTAGTCTCCTAGAAATAAGATCTTAAAATATTATTGTGTAATAGTTCCAGAAAGTCAAGTAGCTTACTGCCTCTGAAGTTTAAGATCCTGAAAATTGTCTGAATAATTCACTAAGAGATTACTCATTTTTTTTCTGAATAAAAAGTAAAAACCAGGTATGTGAAGTTTTAACCCCATTGGGTTTTTTTAAATTTGAAGCTTATGCTCCTAACATTCTATACTTCTCCCAAAAGTGTTTTCTATTGTAAGTAAAAAACTGCTAAGTGTAATTATGTTAAGTCACATCCCAAAGGGTACAAAGCATCAGCCATTTTTGATATCCCAGCGGGGGTTGTTATTTTCCTACCCTTCCCATACTTTGACTTTCAATTTGCCCCGGTTTTTCAAGACAAGTTCATACAGAAATCAGCTAGAAAAAGGAAACCTAAAAGAGAAAAACGGAACAGGTATTTAAAGACATTTTAAGAATGCTGATTTTAAGAAATCAGTTGTAGTAGCTCGAATTTCTACTGTAACACAAGGCTTGAGGACTAACTTTAGACAGTTGCTGCTTTTTTCTTATTTCACTGATGTCCTTTCCTTTTTACAATCCAAATAAGGTTCAAAAAACTGCTATCAAAATGATCTAAAAAAAATACTTAGAAACCCATTTCTAACCAAAAGCAAAGGGGAACCGTAATATGGTATCTGAAGACATGCTAGTAGATGCCACTTTTTGCCTTACTTTTTCCAAAGGAATCTTCCAAGGAAATAAGTATACCCATGCAAACCTAGACAAGAACTGGAACCTTTTTCCACAGTAGATACAATCATTATAGAACATTCAGTAACAACTCTATTTCTATCAGGTAAGTTAACAAGAAATTATAACTAAGTCAGTCCTTTAAGAATATGTATTTTATTTCAGTACATAAAGCAATGTCCAGAAGTCAATTCTGTATTAAAGATATTCAGCAGCCACTTAAAAATTATGTACAAAATACCTTAGGGGTATACAGTCTGAATACTAGAATTAGTATGCCTACGTAGTTTAACATCTTTTTGATGTCTATATGCAAACACAGACACAAGCACTTTGCAATGTTAATATGTGAATTCCAAAACAAATAACACAACCCATATTATAGGAAGATATACACTAGCTGCAAAATTGGGGGGGAAGTTATACACATACATCAATAAAATAAGCTCACTGTGTTAAGCATAAAATAGACAGATTTAGTAAATAAGAATTCTAACATTCATTAGGCAAAAACATTTCAGTGCAAAGGCCAAAGACTCGATACACAAAAATGCCTTATACCATAAGATCATGCAGTATTCTAAGACAATTAAACCTGTGATGACGTAAACCTGGTTTTCATAAGGAATAACCAAGGAAATTATTAAAATATCTGTTTCAATTAAAAAGTAAATAAAGTAACACATTAACTTCTGTTTATAAAAACAAAACCGCAAAGTTTTCTGAGCATGGAAATAAATAATCTCTACTGAAAATTAATTGGAATTCAGGTTTATCTACCACTTAGGCATCTTTGTAGCATTCAGCCTGCAGGTTTGTACTAATTCAAGGATTAAGGGTTGCAAACAGGAGGAAAATCCCTCCCCTACTGCTTTTACACCAAACAGCATGTATTGCTTCTTCATGACCAACAACAGTGAAACAAATGCAAATGAAAAAGTATTTATATATTAAAATCTAGCTACCTAACAAGATCCAAAGTTGTTTACTAAGGTATTAATCCCACAGTAAGATCTGCAATAAATATATAATGCTGACATCCTTTGGTTTCAGTCACTTGTTCAAACTTCAATCTGCATGAAACCTATGGCAAAACTGAGGCCCAAGTACCGCACATTGTCACCTGCTACCTGTACATACTTTGCAGAGGAACCCATAGGACATACATTTAGGTGTATGTCCAGTTCAGGCTTTAAAATTCTTAAAAATGCTGATAAGTTTTATGCAAAGAGCAGCCAGGAGAATGAGAAAACAGACCAAACCAAAGGGAAGTTCAACAAGAGTAAAGATTTGGAGGGAAAAACCCCGCATGTATTAAAAATCTCTACCTACAATAATTAGGGCCTCAAGAGTATTTGGAATATAAGAAAACAAAACTAGCTAAAAATACACCAGGAATGATGATGCCAAACTCGGCATTAATATTTTGCTTCTAAAAATCAGAATCCTTCTACTAGAAGACATTTTGGAAAAACTGAACTTTAATCATAAACTCTCCAAATAGGACATTTTACTTCAGTGGAAAAAATAGACTTGGACTTCTAAGCAGTGGGAAGTTAGTATCTGGACTAACTATAGAGAAACTGATTGCTGAAATGCATTTTATGTTGTTTGAAAAACAGAAGTTGTTATTAAAACTAATTAATAAAAAACCAGTATGTCAGACTTGCAGAAATCTTCTGAGGAAATAAATCAATTGTGCTCCTGCTTATGAACTTATCAGATCATAGTACATACACTGAATTGTAATATTTACACTTCAATGCTTTAAGGCACTCAAAACAGATAAGGATACAAATGACTAGATTAACATGTCAACTAGAACATAAACATTGCAGCACTGTCATTATATAAAACTTTTTATTAGCAAGAATAAGAAACATTAATTTCATTCAAGAGGTCAGAGGTCACACTGCTCATAGTCCTAAATGACAACAGCATCAACTAGACAAACAAGCAAAATATACAGAACATGAAATATGTACCTGAGAGCACTGGAACATGTTTTGTTTTTATTTAAAAACTAGATTGTAGTGCAACCTGAAGTCAAGAATAAACCTAAAGTTGTTGTCTTCTTTTTGATGTAACATGCTCAACAAAAATCAGATTAAAACTAGATGAAAATTTTATCTACTGTTCCATATTAGCTGCCAAGTTTAGCATGAATAAGTGTATGGCAGTATATGAACAAATGTATTTTTATAGTTGCAGCAGTACCTTTATTGCACTTATTGCTGTTCAGAATCTAAAATAATGACATTTACACTGGAAAGATATTAAGACTAGTAATGTGTACTAAAAGTAAAGTCAAAATATACATGCAGTTACTAATCTGACAAACAAAGGCATCAGAATCTGGTAATTATCAGGTTAGGGAAAAAAAAAAAAAAAAAAAAAAAAAAAAAAAAAAAAAAGAAGTCCCGATTCTGATCTTCCATCTAAAGATTCAAAGTAACAGCAATGGGTGCAAACAGTAGAAAAGAACATATTTCCATTACTGAAGAAAGCTTTCTCCAAAACAGACAAGAGGCAGACATAAACAGCACTTATGCTTTGCCTCTTTTTTTTTTTCCACTGAGCAAAGACTCTCATGCTAGAGTTGAAAGCATTTTTATTCCAATACCTTCCTGAAAGACTGAGAATAAACCACGGAATCCTAGTGAAACTTCCAATTAAATACGTGCAGCATTTATATACCTACAAAACAGCTGGTTTAAAATTCTGAATATCACATTTTGACAGCTAATGGGAGGTACACACAGTTTTAATTGCTTGCTTCCCTACAAGTTTGGTCCTATCAAAAACTGTACATGTCCTCCCACAATTCAAACTGTCAAGACCTGAGGTTAGCGAGTGTCCTGGGTTCAGTTTAAAAACTAAACGTATTTCTGTTGTAATATTGTAATCAAAATAAAGGTAGAAGAGAATAATGACATTGACTGAAAATATCAATTACAAACACTGGCAGTTTAATTACACACCTTATCAGAAAATCTATCTTTAAGAACATTTAATAAAAGTTGTACTATAAACCAAGGTTCCCACTCCCCAAACTACACACCATATAGCAAAACTAAATTACTTTACAAAATAATAGTTCAGTGTTCTTGCCAGTGAACTGCATCAACACCTAGAGAGATGTTTCAAGAAACCTTATGATGTTTATATAATTTTGTACATGCAATATGTATATACTGAAGTTCAAAACTTTGCAAAAGTTAAAAACACTGTCAGTGAAAATTAGACAAATAAAGATAATCAGTGCAAAGTTTACACACAAATTTGCTACCAGTGAAAACTGTAATATGTCAATTAAAAAAAATAAAAAATTCAATTGTGGATTATAAATAGGGGTGGGGGTTTTTTTGTTTTTGAGGGTTTTTTTATATATACCAAGATATAAACACTGATTTTTTTTTTTCTCTTCAGTACTCTCTTGTAAAAGCTCTTTTTTGGTGAGCTTTCACAATATCATCAGGAGATGCTGATTTGAAGTCAAATGGTGTTATGGCTATTATAGGACCAGTTTCCTTGGGTTTTACATCTTGTACTTGTCTACTATATAGGAAAGCTTTATGTACACCAATTGTGCGCCGCTTATAACCTTTTGGAGGGTAACGGAGACACAAGGTTAAAGCAAAAGCTGAAGGTCTTGCACGCAGTGCCTTCACCCAGGAAAGGGACAAATCCTGCCCCTTAGGAGTAAGCACTCTTTTAGGTTTTTTATTTGTTTTGGCAAAGCCAGAACATTTTCCTTGGTTTTCTTTTAGAAGTTTAATTTCAGGGTTTAAGATATTTGACTGTCCTACCACATTTTGTTCTGCAGATACTTCTGCATTTTTTACAAGGACACTTAGATCAATGTTGGTTCTTTCAGAGGGCCTTAATTCAGTAACATTGAGCATGGGGAAGTCCATCCTTTGTTGAGTTTTATCTAATTCAATAGTCTCTGCTATTAAATCTGAAAGTGACAAATTCTCAACCTCCTTTAGTGGAGAATATTGACAGAGGGTTAGAGAAGACAAAGATCCTGTTAGCTCTGGCATCCCACCTGAAGTTTGGGGTTGGCTTACTAGTTGTGATAATGGTGAGGTTCCCAATTTCCTATCAGTGAGACTTGCTGTTGACTGGGTATAAAGGTCAGCCAAAGAGTAACAGTGACTAGCACTGCTTTCCTGGTGCTCCCGAAGTAAGTCAGCCAATGATGTATTTCCAGACCTTAACACTGGCAAAGCAGCCATGTCTGAAGAGGGGCTTTCTTGTTTTCTACTTTGCACGACTGAAGAAAAATTTTCAAGTTCATTCTTTCTATTTACAGTATCACTGGCTTCATTATCAAGAACCAATTTTCCTGAAGTACTTGTTAAACATGAGTGACTGTAAAAACTTGCATTGCTTTTACAATCAGAAGTATTTGAGGAAACAAGCGGACTCAGAGAATCACAAACCACATTCTGCATCAGCAAGGTTTTCAAGTCCTGTGTTTCCTTGCATTCCAACTTCTTAAAGGAAGAATTTCCAGATACGTTACTTCCTATGCTAAAGTAAACATCTTCACTGTCAGAAATCAAACTTAATGCATTAACACTTTCTGGTAGTTGATTCTCTGCCTGTTTATTCACAGGTTCACAAAATGATCCTTTACACAAATCATCACCGAAAGAAGATGACAGCACAAGTGAAGAGGATTTCAATCCTTTCTTTTCAGGTGAAGGTATATTGGATTTTTCAGCATTAAGAAGCATTTTGTCATTTGTAATTAAAGAGTAACAAGCTGAACCACTTCTGGCTGCCAAGTTTCCAAACCCAGGTTTGTTGGTGTTGTCGGCAACATTTTCTACTGCACAAAAGAAATTGTCTGTATCCATACACATTTCTGGACTACAAAGTAAGTCTCCTTACCTTACAATAGCCAATAATTTTCAGATGGAAATGCAGTCACAATGAAATATCCATTGTTTTTACCGTTGACAGCAGCAACAAAAAAGAAATCAAGAAGAAACATGAAGAGGCATTTAATTACTAAGTGTTATCAAAATATATGTAATGTTCTACAATTAACATACAGGTACCTAGTGAAATACCTAAGAAACTTTAAAAATCAGCAAAGAATGACAGTAAAGATGACAAAGGTTTAAGCATAAATCAAAATAATTTACTGTATAAACACTAACATAAAAAAAGAGAGGTATTGGGTATGTCGGTTCAAGAAATAAGTAACAGAAGTACATAAATCTTGAAGATGTCGTCCAACATTTAGGGCATGTATTAATTCAGTTAAGTCATATATTATAAATCAGAAATTCACTGCGAACTACGGATGGTTGCAGTTCGAATTTAAGCTGATGCTAAGGTGCTATTTTGCCTTCCAACACAAGAAAAAAATACTGTTTCTTTTACATGTTTTTAGAACACAGGAAAGGGAGAGTAAATTGGTCTTTTTAAATTTCCTAATAAATGACTGATGCAGTAACACACATCCTCAGAGCTTGTAAAGCCAATATTAAACTGTACATAGAAATGAATCATCTTGAATGCAAGCAGTTAAATAGAAGTATACCTTTTGTCTTCTTTCCCGCAATCACAGTGTCCTCATTCTTAGTCTTCACAGTTTTCTTACTGCCTTGTGAAAGCACAAGATCCAAAGCCTTCTGTACATCAAATTTACTATCCAGTACTGCTTGCACCATTGTCTGCTCTGGTACAGACTCTGCCAAAACTTCTCTCATTTGATCAAGGCATGAATTAAGACGGGCTAAAAGAGATATATTACTGTTATAAGCTCCACAAAAAGCATGTCTTAAGTGGCCTAAACACTAGCACCATACATATGATAAACAAAAATGGGAGAAAATTATCACAGTAAAAGATAAAACCTTTAGAAATTAATTTCAATCTCACTTATTGCCATGATAAACTTTGCCCCCAAGCTCTGCAGAATTATTTGACTAATTTCAGATATTGCTATATGGAACATTGCACTGACTACTATTTATTAGTCTATGAAGTCTCAATATTGAAACACTTTGAATGTTGTAAAATTAGCTATTTTCACTACAGAGAAGAAATACAAATAATCACCTTAAAATCACCCAAAGTAATACGATAAGTCAACACGGAATCCCAATAAACAGCACATTTTAAGGGTTTAGAGATGCTATTATGAACACCTAAAGTAAAACAGCATTTTTACAGGCCTCAGGCCTTAAGAAATAAAAACTCTGGATCAACACACCAGGTCTGAAACCATCTACAGTCTTTACTTTTCCAAAAACTGTAATACATTTTTAGCTGAAAAGATCGATTTCCTGTGGAGCATATTTCTGCAACCAGTATAAGCCTTGACTAAGGTAAGTTTTGTAAATCTTGACTTGCTGCACAAGAGACTGAAAATTCACCAAGCTGACACTCACTGAAAGTAGTGTGCTGGTCAGACATACAAACACAAGAAAAGAAAATATTCCTGAATATTATGGTTCCTGTCAGTTCAGGTTTTAGAAAACAAGAACTGAAGAACAGGAAGACAACTACAGATATTTTATCTTAACACCTCCTCAAAGATAGTGATGTTTAAAGAACTTTGCTAAGGGAATTCAACATCACAGATCAGAACTCCGCTTATAATGTAGAGTTCACGGCTGGAGGACTGAATGGAAACCAAAGTCTAATGAATTCAAAACCAGGTAAGTAAAGATTGTAGATGATACGGATATCTAAAGATACCAATTTTCTAACTAGAAACATATTTCAATGTATGCTACCAAGTTACAAGCAACATACAAAAAGTAGTTATGAACTTGAATAATCACCACTGAAGCTACGCTCATGGAAGGTGTTACTCTACAAGATTACAAAATTGTGAGCAGTGTCAGTCAAGTAACAAACATTTAAATTAAGACTATTTTTAGTAAGTCCTAAATTCACAAGAGATTGTTCTGAGAATTACTTATTTTCTATAATTACCTCTATCAACTTCAGTCAGCTGATGATTGGATGTGAAATAATCAGCAGTATCATCTTTACGTTCATAGCCATATTCTTCTTCCAATGGCTCAGCAAATGTTGCTGGTTTGTCTCGTCTGGAGTAGATAAACTGAGCTGCTGCATTAGGTAAAAAACAAAGTATTATAAAAAAGTCAAATGTTTTTTTCCTCCTTTAAAAACAAAACATACCTAAAGGGAAAAAAATTTAGGGTGCTGACCTTTTCCAGTGGTTTTGGGGGGAAAAAAGGGACACTACTGTATGACTACTACCTGATAGAGTGTACACACCATACAGCAGCTCATGATAGAATATAAATAAGTAATTATCATCGTGAAACCACAGGCCAGGCAATATCCTTGTATGCATGATATCCAACAATTCTGCAAAGTTCAGTATTCCAACAAATTAAAATATTGTTTGAAAAACAGTATTTCCTATATTTCCAAATTACCACCTCTGCCCAAACGTCTTGAGACCTTTCCTCCACAATTATTCTTTTACCTCAGTTGCAAGTCAAAGAAAAAGAAAAAAAAAAAAAAAAAAAAAAAAAAAAAAAAAAAGGCATGAAAATAATGTTGCTTTTACAGTGTGGCATTGTGAAACTACCAGTAACAATTTAATGGAGCTGAACACATTCTTCTCTTCTTGGAATTTCATTAGAAATAAGTCCATGAGTTAAAATGGATATTCACACAAAACTTTAAACACATGCATAATTTCATTACGATTTAGCAACACATTAAGGCATATATAGATAAACTTCTTGCTGAACACGAGCCCCAGTTATTACATACCCTCAGAACTGTACAAAGTATAATGTAAACAAATTTCTTTATGTTATGTAATATTCTTCCCAGCTCTGAAATACATACTGAAAGCATATGTATATTCAGAAGTAGTATAGCCTTAACAACTGTTTCCCACACACATACAATTTCATATTCAATCACCATAACTGAAGCAACTATTAAAAGATTGCTATACAGTCTACATCAGATTAATTTATAAATGAAGCATACGTAAGAAGAATACTTAGGAAAACTACTGTGCACAAACAAGAATTAGTTTTACAATTTAGCAGTTTATACTTGAGTAAAAAGTAAACGTTGCACATTTTCATCATAAAAACAAGGCTAAGATAATTCTTAGAAAATGTCTGAAAACCTCTAGCAATTAAATTTAGAATTTGAATGAAAGACAATCTTTTGGGGAATGTTACTAAAAATAATAAAAATACGCACCTAGATTTGCTTATCTAAAAATCAACAGGATGTCAGAGGAACAGATTTTTCAAGACCTATTTGACATAAGTAGCTGTGGCCTGGTCACAGACTACATCGCAGTCTCAGTGGATTTAGATCCAGCCAAGTTACTTGCAGTAGCACAGCTTCCCAACAACATCAGCCATAGTATTTTCAGGACCTACTGAGATCTAGAAACACTGCCGCCAAATCTGGAGAAACGCTGAAGGGATAATCTTGCCACAGATTTGGCTGGATAACACAACCTAACGGTTGCAGTCAGAACTCAGCTGGGTTGAGCCACTAACTACGTCTTACCTGAGCACACAGCATCACTATTTTTATACCTATTCTGCAACACTTCAAATGCCAGAAGGTTTATTATCTTGCATGAGGACTAGTGCTGTATCCAGTAATGCAAAAAGACTCCCTACCCAACATTTACTCAAAATTGTGTAAAAGACATCAACTAGCAGCTGCAGAACCAGAACTTTTACACCCAGCTAGATCCTACTAACAATTTTCAAAGATACAAATGTTTCAAGACTATCAACACATTCCCATAAACCAGATTTTTACATTACCAACTACATTTTGACCATCCAAGTTAATACGCTTGCACGATTGAAGATGTGCCCAGTTGTCTAATGTGACTTCCAAAATTACAATACTTAATACCTAACTGACTTTAACAGGATTATGGCAGCTAGCGTCTTTCAAAGGTTCCACCCGCTTTTTAATATTGCTTTATTCTGGAAATAAAAATCAGAGTAAGAATCAATGGACAATGCTTATATGTAATCATTTGAACTAACCTGTTGAAGGAGAAATGCAATAATCATCTTCTACTGACTGGCCATACACATCATCATCTTCAAAATCTATATGAAGCAGAAAAGTAAGATTAGTCTGTACAATTTCTAAATACTTAATAATTCAAAGCACAGTTTTTACACAAGGTTTTAAGAAATTATGCATCTCCAGTGTTCCAGAAGTGCCATTAAGTACCGTTTGCTTACCTAGGTAAAAGACTCTAAGTTACAATAATAGAATTTTAACATTCAACATTCTATGCATCAGGAAAGCTGAAAATTTTCAAGAGTTGCCATGCTTCACACCTCCTCCTGTGTAGCATCTCCTTTGGAAGGCTGCCCTCACAGTCCAAACAAGTTTCTACAGTTCCACACATCTTTATCTGTGGCACTTCTCTTGACATTCTTGCTTGACCTCTCAAGCAGTCAAGTCAGTCTTAACCACATATAGCTCAATTACAATCTATTCCAACAACTCAGGATCAACATTTCTACTGTCAGCTTTCTTATCTGGTCTATCATCACTGCTATCTACCTTTCAACTCAAGTTCAGCAAAACAAAAACACAATTTACAATTTCCTTTGAATATGCATAATTGTTCCAGCCAAAAAGCAAGATTCTTATACAATTACTTAAATACAGTCATATACTTTCCCCATTAAAAAAAGAAAAAAAAAAAAGGGTACCAAGAATCAGTTATCAGGAAACACAAAGAGAAAGCAAGCTACCCCCTCCCTCAAACAATCCTAGTATTCCATAAATCTTGAAAAGAAATCTATAATTTTCATTAAGTAATAACGAAATATATGAAAAAGTAATGAACTATTTTTAAAGATGTTATTGCGCACACTTGCAAATTTCATAAATAACATGTATGGTTTGTTGTTTTAAAAAAGTCAGAGGAAAAAAAGCAGCTAACAGCTAAGAAAAAATATCTCCACTCTCCTACCAACTTACAGACTTGGGACATTACAAACACTGTATCCACCTATAAAGGGCTTGGCAAAGTAAACTTGACTCCATAATTCACTAATTTTCAAAAAAATGCCAACCAAAAGCAGTAGCTAAAAGGGTACAAATGTGTGAAAAGTCTGGTGAAAGACCCAGGAAGCTACTTTGGAAATTAAGTATCACAGGACAAAGAAAACATATTAAACGCTTGTTTTGATTGTTTGTCTTAAAAAGAAGAGTATTGTTATCTATCTTTTGACCCTGTTTAAAAGGACATAACTGTTTCCTGATTCCATGTGAGGGCTGATTAATCTATAAAGTCTAGAGAAGAGCTATACATTTTTTTTCAAGGTAAGCATACTTTTTATAGATTGGTGAATACTTGGAGAATGTCAAGGGGAATTCCAAGATGACTTTAGTGAATGGTTAACATCCACAGTTAGTAGTAAGTGAAATCAAGGTAAGTCTTGTCAGTGTGCATTATCTGAATCATACATACATCCCATACTGGTTTAACTTCTAGACTAAGAAAAAGACACATTTCAGTGAAAATGGCTCAGCTTGCGCTAACAAAAAAAAATAATTATTAAAAGATGACAGAAGTTACAGAGAACAGAGCAGAAGCTACAGAAGCATTCCACAGTATCAATAGCTGTATCAACAACATACTCTCAACTGAAATATCAACATTCAGTTCTGATCACAATACCTCAAAAAGGAGAAGGCAGAAATAGAATATGGTCAAATAAATGCCACAAGGTTTAAGGCCTTAAAATTAAAAGGCTTCCTATGAAAGGAGACAAAAAAATACTGAAAATATTTTAGAAAGGAGGTAAATAATTGGGCCAGACAAAGTGTTACAGAATCATAAGAGGCATAAAAGGAACAGGTAACATTATATTTAAAAAAAAAAAAAAAAAAAAAAAAAAACACAAACAACCCACGCACACAAAAAAGCCCCCAAAAAAGTGTACTTCATTTGGGACAGAAATGTATGTGACTACAAAAGTAATACAAGGTCTAAGTATAAAGACCACACATACACACACTTCTAATTAAATCTGATAAGTAATGCAACAGTAAAGTTTTCAAATAGAAACTTAAGCCTCATATGGCTACAGCAAATTACTATGTATCTTGGCAACCTCATTAAAAGAGGTGCTAATGACTGGGCACCCAACTTCACAGATGACAAAGATTCAGATGAAATCAACATTTTCACCAATCTATAATGAATACGTAAAGGATGAAAGAATGAAGCAGTAAAATCTCCAATCTAGTCTACATTCGGTAAATTTGCACTACTAAAACCTGCAAGGTAGGTCACACAGATGCCATGGCTCGCATGGATTTACATGACTTCCTAAAAAATTCCACGATCATGGTGCAAAACCCAATCTGTGCTACTACAATTGCTCACTCAACAGCAAATGATCAGAGGCAGGCACAAGTACTTATTGCAATTTTTTATGTAATCTGACAAAACAAGGCAACAAACAGCAGCTCCCATACGAGAGTTCTTTAAAATACCAGTATCAACTGGAGGTGTGTCCATTGTTCCATAGCCCAAGCCAACACAAATAAAACCTTTGAGAAAACGGGGTGCCATTTACAGTTTGTTGACGTTAATGAAGAACGCAGAGAAAGCTGCAGTACTGCAGGTACCAGCCAAGATTTTATATAAGACCACATTTATTTCACGCAAGTTAGGATAAAATGACAGCAAAGTGTCTGAAACACAGGTTCATCCCGAGATGCTCTACTCCACCTTTTACAACTACATTTATTCTACAAGCAACAGCTGTTGCCTCTGATCTATTATTACGGCTGAACACCAGCAACAATTTGCTGGAGTTAGACTCGTAATACAAACTTTTAAGCTTCACAAGACTGAAGATGGGCGGGTTCAATTACACTGACGCCTGTAAAAGCGCTCAAAGTCGTCAGCTTGAGGCAACGCAGGTAACCCCAGCCGTGGCCCGGCCTGCGCGCCAAGGCCGCGTTTTCCCCGCCTGGGAGCTCCCGGAGCCCCGGCAACAGGAGGTGGCCTGAATGGCAGCGGCAGCGCGCTGTCCGGGCGGGAAACGGACC